TAGGTCTAGACCAAGCTGGAATGTATATATGATATATGTATGTATGTATGTATATATATATATATGTATATATATATATCCACACATATTCACATGTGTCTCTGCATGCAGTTGTAGAATACCATAAATACAAATTTTAATATAAATATGAATGTAAATGAATAGTCAATATGCATACATACATACATACATACATCATACATACACACATACATACATACATGTATGTACGTACGTACATGTACATACATAAATAAATGTGCATACATGTGCATACATGTACATACATGTACCTGCATGTACGTACATGTACATACATGTACATACATGTACATACATGTACATACATGTACATCCTTGTACATACATGTACGTACATGTACATATAAATATAATATAAATATAGAGAAACATATATATATATACACACATGTGTATATATATATATATACGCACACATGTATGTGTGTGTATATCCGTAATATATATATACACATACATTTGTGTCTATATACCTATACACACCTATTATAATGCAGATATAGGATTAGAAATACAAACTACAATTCAATAATCAATCGAGAAAAGGCACCGGTGAATGGACAGTCTCTGTGTGTGTGGGGACACAAAAAGTATATGTCTGCACGAATTCTGTGTTGCTGTGGATCTTATCCGAAATCCTGCCGGCTGCAGTCCTGTCCTACTCTAGAAAGGTACCTCATGGAGTGAGGCTTCGGAGATTATCCTGTTTAGGCCTGTTCCCAATGTTGGATTCCCGGGCCAGAGCACACCCGCCCATCTGAGTCGTGGCCAGGCGTCGATCAAGATGGAGACGCTGGCCAGGATCATGGAGGCACCAGCGCTGCGAAGTATCGTCAAGTTTCTGTACTTCAGCGCTGCTCAAAACCACGAGGAGCAGGCGCCGGGCACACTGGATCGATGGTTGCCGAAAGTCTGGGCCCCGACCAGACCTTCAGCACGGTGTGACCTGATTGAGCTTTAGGGACGAGCCGGAACTTGAACACTCCCATTCTAAATATTCGTCCATATTCCTAAGCACAGAAATGTTTCCGGAAGCGTCCAACTCCAGACCCCAAGATCCTAAACCCTAACTGAAGCACTAGATCCCCAAACCACAAAAACCCAAAAAGCTGCTTCAGTGTCTTCATGTCTCAAGTTTTTAAAGGACGAGTTCGGCATGCACAGCTACTTCGCTTTTCGCTCCCAGGCAACCAATAACATTGCGGGCTTAAAGTTTTAAAGGTTAGGGGCTTCGTGATTCAGGGTTTAGGGTTCAGGGTGGTGGGCTCGTGCGCTGTGGGTTCGGGTCTTGTGGTTTGGATTTGTCCAGGACTCGGAATGAAGTTGTGAGATGTCTTGAGCTTCGCCTGGCAGTCCGGAGTGCAAGGGCGAGGTGGTGTTTCACAGCTCACACAGCAAGAGAGAGAATGGGAGAGAGAGAGAGAGTTTGCGTTGGAATAGGGGCACAGAACAGCCCGGTGGCGCAAGCGGCAATAAGCTGCCAGAGCGCGCACCAGAACCGGTGGCCGAAGGCCAGACGAGGCTGGGGGTACTTAGGCTAGTAGGGCAAGGTTTCCAGAGTTGTGGGGACATCCAGCCTCATCTGATTGCGTGTTCACACCCGGACGAAGAGACCAGTGCACGCCCAGGCGCGGGGAGGGCCGAGTGTCTTCCCTTGTCTGTGCTGAAGAAGAGAGAGAGAGCGAGAGAGCCCCAATCACCAATGCAGCCACTTCAGTCCTCACCACAGCAACAGCCCCACTCCGAATGTGATGCACTACCACCCCAATCATCAATGCGGGCGCAAGCACAGCTGTCCCCGCGCGATCCATGGAATGCCCTAGCGCACCTCTATGTAGGCGAAGGTCCCCTACTACCTCCGCATCCATGGCGAAACAAAACTCTTTGGACTGGACCCTCAAGCAAGGGCGCCCGTAAGGGCAAGATCTCTGCAAGCCGCCCAAGTCGCCTCCACCCCGATGAGTGATGCAGAAACGGTGGCACCTACAGAAGCTCCTCTGGACCATGACTCCGTCGGGGACGACCTGAATCCCGCGACCATCCCGACTGAGTCCGACGTCGCTTCCGAGCTCGCATGCAACGCAGAAGAAGCTTGCTCTCTTGATCCACAGCAAGCAGTTTCCCCTCTTGATCTACAACCAGCCGAACATGATGCACAAGATGCATCCCCACAACATGGAGACCAAGACCACGGCTATGGAGCAGAGCTCCCTGTGACCTCTTCCGATGCCCAGGAGCCTCCGAATGACCTACTTGCAGATGACGACGAATGCGACAGTGATATTTCTGACGGGGATGATCCCGGTCCCTTACCAGCGGCTCCACACCGAGAGGATGCAGAGGGAGCAACCCCTAAGAGAAGGCAAGCGGGCCAAGGCAGCCAACGAGTCAAAGAATAAAGCCCGCAAGTCAGACGTGAAGAGGCTTTGGGGACAGATGCAGCGGGGCGATAAGCCCCAGTGGTTGCCCTGGCGACAAGCCTTGCCATGGATCCAACAGCAAGAGAAGCCTCCGGCAGTTCGACCTGCCTCTGCAGCTGAGGACCGAGCTAAATTCGCGCACGCTCTGAATGCTAGACACCAGAAACACAGCAGGCGCGGTCATCGCATCTGGATCCACTTTGGCTGCCTGCCCCTGCTTCCCATGCACATCTTCTACAACAACCTGACGTTGGCCTCCATGAAACTAGCAGCCAACGCCGCTGCTGAAGATCACGCACGCCGCATGGCAGCCAATCCTTATCTGCATCCACCTCACCAACGCCAAGCACAACGACAACAAGCTCCACCCTCCTCTTCCAGCTCCCGGACGTCCAACGGCAACATCCAGCAAGATCCTGTACTGTACTACCCGGACAAGACCGACCGGCTGCGTTGCAGGAAAGTTCCTCCGCCTCCTCCTCCTCCTCCTCCTCCTCCACGCCTTCGCCTGATACCCCCCAGATGAACCCAACAAAGAAGAAGAAAGTACAGAGAACATCCTCCACTACCAGTACGTAAACAAGACCTCGTGTGGAAACTCACGAACAGCACAGCTCTTCAACTCAGAGCTGACGGGGTCCGCCATTACCGGTGCACATCATTGACAACATAGTCAACGGAGAAGCAGAACCAAAAGCTGCAGAAAGCCGAAATTTGCTTTTTAGCGGGGATGCAGTGGTCATAGATGTGCTAAACCTAGAAGAGACGGAACAACAGGATGGGCAAGAAGACCTGAGTGGGGTGGCCGTCAGCGAAATATGGTGCATAGTTTTGGGAAGCAGCACCGGTTGCAACAGCATAGTCATTCGATGGCATGAAAGCATTTATGCCGTCAGCAAGTGGCAATCTCTGCAGAGCAGCATGCTGCGCGCACATCTGCTGTGAACCTGGAAGCCCTGAGCGCTGAAAATTGAAAAACCCACCACAGCGGAATCCCAAATCCGAGGTTCTAGCTTTGCTTTCGCTCTGCGCGTGGATTCCGCAGCTGCGAGCTGGGCAGAGCTCATCCTCGAAGAGGTGAGAGGTGTTGGGCGGAATGCTTGCCGGCTACGCGGGCGGGAATTCGGGGTCCGGTTTCGTGCAGGAAGAAGAGGGGAGATGACACTCTTGCTCTTGCTGCAGTCCAAAGCGTCACTGGTTTAAGCTGCACCTCCCGAGCTTCGGACTGCTGTTCGTCAGTTACGAGCCGTTGGGCAGCTTGTGGAGATGTCCTTAAACAGTTCTTAGTGGAGTGCCTCTGCAGAAGATGGGCGCTGAATAGAAACTGATTCAAAACCCAAGCTGTTGCCACAACTTTGGATCCCGAGACCTGGCTTGGCTCTGGCCAGGTCGAGCCCCTGCTCTTGGACCTCGGCGTTCTGAGCCCGAATCCAAGAAGTCCCCCGAGCTCGCTGTCAGACGCTGTCAGGTCTAAACGAGTCCATGTTGAAGTGTTGATAATTTGCGAGAAGTTCCGATACTTTGCGACTGCGATTTTGCGGGGCAGGTGTGGCGAGGGAGGAGCAGGACGACTTGAGAGTGTACTTAGAGGTGCCGCAGAGCTGTATCAAGCGTTTTTTCCGGGGGCGTCTTGAGCCTGTGTATGGGCAGCAACTGGGCGAACTCTTCAGGTGAATCACACATTCGGCTTGTATGCGCAGGGCAGCTCGGGACCAGGAAATTTTAACTCCGAAACTCGGGCGTGTGCTGGTGCAGGCCGACAATCTTCCGCAGATCCAAGCCAACGAGCTGCGTAGGAGCATGAGCGAGGCACGGAGCCCGGCCTCGATGTGGTTTTGGTAGGACCGTACAGAAACACTGGAAGTGTCAATTATGGAGATCATCAAAGTGCGCTGAATCGTGTTCCTCCTCTTAGAGAATGTGTGCTGCAGAGCATTAGCAACCTGTCACCTATCCTCACCCTTCCGAAGAGGGAAGGTCAACATATGTTAAGACCGTAAGATCCGAAGCCAGCAGTCTTCAACACACCACTCTCCATCCTGAGCCCTAACCCACCGTCCACATCCCTCATGCCCAGGATCTTCCACTCCTTGTTTTTGGCCCACTGAGTGCCTTCCTGGCCACGCTGTGGCTCGGCTTTACCTGCCCGGCTTGCTTTTGGACCACTTTACGCTCAGAAACCCCCAACAACCCGCGAACCCTTTAACCTAAGTACAAATCCAACCCACTACAACCCAACCCTGAACAAGCAAAGCAAGGCCTTAACTCGCGAATCCTGAAACGCTTATAAGCTTAACACCACTGAGGCTGCGTGGCCGGCTTCTCGTAGCGCTCACCGCAGCAGCTGCTTATCATGCAGAGAATTGGGTCAGTTGATGCTTGGGGCTGGATCTGACAGAATTGCAGGCAGGCTCCCAACCTCTCTGGGTACCAAGCCTTGTCGTAGAGTTCGCCAGAGAGGACTATCAGAGATGGCTGGCTTGCTCATATGAGTGGCCTACACGACATGGTTGCCCTTATCACGATGTTTGCCACGCCATCACCCATCCTGTGCTTCCTGGCATTGGCAGCAAATCTGAATGGTGTATTCCTGAATACGATGAAAAGGGATGTCGCCTGCCTACAGTTTTCTGGAGTGGATTGCTAGGTTCCACTCCGTTTGACCCAGTTGTTTCAGGCCTATTGCATCTCGAGTTGGTAGACGTGAGGGCCTCCCACTAGCAGCCACAGACCTCCCGTAGCCGCATCTGATTGACATAACATGCGCACGCTCGTCAGTCTTTTGCTCCTACTGTCTTATCGGCACCTCCAACAAGTAGATGCTTGGTGTAGAGGCCATAGCCAGGTTTTTTTGGAGCTTGCTGTAACGGTTCGGCTTTCTGTACCAGGTTCTGAGCACTGGGCATCTGTTTGGGTTTGGTTCTGAAGGAAGGTCTGCTGGCATTCCAGGTGCTAGCATCGGAGAGAAGAAGGTTAAATGGGATCTGGTGGTATTAGGATGTGGAGCTGAGGCCATAGTTTGGGCCAGGATCGCATGTGGGCATAATGGCACGGTTGTTGAGACGTAGGGCAACGGTATGAACTATGAACCCGTGGCTTGTCGAGCTCGAAACGCCTAGGTGCTGGCATTTGCGGTGCCAGTCATTGCTTCACTTGGGATTTTGGGACGCCGTGATGAGCTGCTCGAGGGCGTGGAGGTGCGATGGTCGGATGGAGGATTCCGTTTGGAGGTGGCAGTGCTTGGGGTTTGGGCAGTGAAGCCCAAGACTTGGGCTTTGCAGGTTTAAGATCTCAAGCATTCAGATTGGAACCCGGGCTCTACCTGTCTGAAGCATTCAAAGCCATCCCGCTACGTCCTGACACAATTCGTTCCGCACATCTTGGCAGCGAGGGCTTGAACTCGAGATCCAAGAAGCTTGTTTTTCGATGTTGCAGGCTCTGAACCAGCGAACGTTCACAGCCAGGTCAGGATAGTGGCCACAGCAGCATGGTTTCTGGTTGCAGCAGGCCACAAAGATTGGGCTTTGGCGCAGCATTAAGACGGGGTTGCTCGTTTGTTTAGGGGATCTTCCTTCAGGGCCTTGATTGCAGGGTCAATAGGCTATCGGTTCAGGCCGAAATCAACAAACCTAAGAATCTTAAGAAATAAAGCTGGGTGGGCCAGTTTGGTTCCGTCTTTTGGAGTGCTGCTTGTTCGAGTCGCACAGGGTTGTACAAGGCCTCCTGTTAATGGCATCATTGCATCATATACAACAGCCGCGGCGGCTTCCTGTTCAAGGCACGATTCATGGCTACTTATGACCGGGCTACACCTCGACCTGTTGACTTGCGTTCTTGGCAAGTTGGCCTCTTTGCTTCCCAAAGGTTGATCTTCACCCTGTTAAGGGCAGCCCTGTGCCACAGGCGTCGCGGACCTCAGCGCAGCCTGCGCACATGCGATGGAGGAGCGCTGGAGGTTCAAGAGGCCCAGGCTTTAGCTCTAGGTGGCTGTACTCCGACATGTGTCAACTTGCAGGGTAATTCACGTCAAAAGCTTTCGGAATGTCGGGGATGCACGGCCAGGTTGAAGTGTTCTGAGTTTGTTGTCATGCGAAGAACACAGCCAATCCAAGCGGTCACCTTCCAGACCGGATCTCATTCGTCCTCATCCTGAGCTCTAAGGGCTTCTACATTGCGAAAGTCCAGCTACCAACTTTCCAGGAGCGGCGGGAGAGTCTTCGATTGATGGCGCCCCAGTGGCTGCTTGTCCGTCTTGGGCTCAAGGCCGTACTCGTCATGGTGACATGGTAGTGGTACAGGTAGAAACATCACGTGGCAGTAGTGGAGCGGCAATGCCGTAGCAATAACACGACTGATCATGCTAGATTCTGGAGAAATCAGCCGAATGAAGAAGGACACAGCAATCGGAATGTTGGTCTCCTGTCGGGCCAAGGGCTGCTGTCCCAGTCAGCGAAACAGTTGCAGGCCTGAGCGGTGCTTGGTCTCTTGTCGGTTTCGGTATTTGTTCGTTGCTCGGTGGTTTGAGCCGTTCGGCCTGGTGACCGACGAAGACATGAACCCAAACGCTCGTCTTCAAGCCCTGACAGTGGAAACCTGAAACTCTGACAGCCAACTACCAGGACAAGCCACTTCGGCTTACAGCCCCGTCAAACACTCAACCACTTCACCAGAAGCCTGCACTGGCATGTCGCGGTCACACTCCAACTGTCCACAAGTCTTGTCGTGGCATTGCATCATGTACATGGCAGGCTGCATCTCCGCCAAGTCTTTGGCACCAGGAGGGGCCGTCGCTGGGGTTCAACTTCAGTGCAAAGCTCCAAAGCACGAAGCACAGGCAGCTGAATATGACGGAGTTTCTTTCCTGTACCTTTGGTTAGGCAGCGCTTCGAGCTTCTGAGCCCGACGTTCAGCCAGGTCATGGCCTGCATGCCCCTGGAGGTGTCGGTTGCGGAGAGAGGGCGTACCTTCGAGTCTTTGGAGCATGTGGAAGGTGTTGTTGTAACAGTGGCTCGAGATGCAGTCTGCTTGTGGTCCATGGGTGTGATTGTTCCTGATATTAACCTGATACTGGTAGCGACCTGGCTCGTTTGATGCGAGCAGCCATGTTGCTGTGAATCCGGGCCCCAACTCACTTCCTTGCGGAATTTGGTCAAGCAGAAGAGGAGGGTCACGATGATGAAGCAGTCGCGTCTTCGTCCTCATCCTCGTCCTCGTCCTCGGTGGTCGCAGTAGTAGTAGTCGTCGTCGTAGTAGTAGTAGTAGTAGAAGAAGTAGAAAATTAGTAGTAGTGGGAGTGGGTGTCGGAGTGGCAGTAGTAGTCGAAGTCGTAGTAGTCGTAGTCTTAGCAGTCGTAGTCGTTGCAGTCGTGGATTTATTAGATGTTGTCGCCGCAGTAGTCGTAGCGGTACCAGCAGCAGCAGCATCTGCATCAGCAGCAGCAGGAGGAGGAGCAGTAGCGATGAGAAGTAGGAAGTAAGATGCAGTGAGTAGTAAGCGGCACGTGGCACATGGTGGGAGGAAGTAGGCAGTAGGTCGGAGGTCGCAGTTTGTAGGGGGGTAGGGAGTAGGAGGCAGTGGGCATCAGGTACTTGCGAAAAGCTAAGTCGGTGTGATGGCGACTTTTTCATGCGACGAGCAATTATCAATCATGAGTAAGGTACACCCCGTAGGAATGCTATAAACTCTGATCGTAATTGCAGCTGTCAGAATGTTCGTAAACTGAGAGTAGCACAAGCAATAGTCATAGCCAGAATCCCGGAGAAAACGCCAGCCAGAGCAGCGATCCTTGCCCTTATCAGGATCCCCGCCATCCTGATCCAAATTGTAGGAAGAGAAACGACAAGCACAAGTGGAGGAGTTGCGTGGCCATTCAGCACGGGTTCTGAAGATGGTGCGCTTTGTTATCGAGGCCCGTTCTTGCACCTTTTGCATGAATGTCAGTTTGCGATTGTGCAACAGCGGCAGCAGGCAACTCAACGAAAGGGAACACTAGTGCTTCCGCTGATGCTGATGCTCGTGCTGATCACCAAACCCTTGAGGAGGGCAGGAGTGGAAGAGGTGGAGTAGGACCAGTTGTTTTCGCCGTCTGTGCCAAAGTGGACTTTAGTAGTCACATCAACAGTAGTAGCAATCTTACTGCGAGCAGTGATAGCTAGTGTAGTCCCACGCATCATCATGGGCCGATGCAAGCGCTTTTCTATTTCCTCGCCTTCAAAGCCGCAAGAGACAGCCAGGCTGATTCGTACACGGTGTGTAAAGGTTGAGGGCGGCCGGGGAGTGACTGGAGGAAGGCAGCTGGCTGCAGCTTGCTTCTAAGGCGCTCACAAAGCACGTGACAAAGTGCCATTACTGCCACAAGCCGGTTCTCATGGTTTGCACCCCTGGCTGCCGCAGGTTTTCTGGAGAGTGTTGATATTGCACACCAGCCCTTTACGGTGGGGAATCGCAGGCAATGCTTGTGACCAGAGTTTGGGATATGTTTGTTGTGCGACTCAGCTTAAATCTCTTCTCTTGATTTCCCACTCACCTGACGTACCCAAGTTTCTTAAGTCTTACTTACAAAGACTGAAGCGAACTTTCGAAACCGTAACCCTCAAACTTTTAGCTCTAAGCATGTGCTCTAAGTACCCTGAACCCCTAAAACCTCTCCCTGAAAGATCCCTAACATGAGCCCTCAAAGGAACCCAATGTCTTGAGGCCCTCCTGCCCACAGTGGCAGCTGGAGCCATTCTCAGATCAAAAGGAAACCATGGCGGCCGCATTACAGTTTTGGGCTGTTGAAGGTGTTGGAGGCTTGCTGGAGGCATCATTGCGGTTGCTGTTGTTGCAGATCTTGCTGGTATGGCCTCTTCAACTATCAAAGATTTTGCTGCTGTTGCTGTCAACATTGCTTGTCCTATCTTCGCGGAATCGTTATTGAATCTGCTTCTGTACTGCTTTGGCAGCCCTCCAACTCCTCAGCCCCAAAACCCACCCTTCCACTTGAAAGCCACATTCAGAGGCGAGAGCCTGGGAGTGTAGCTCTAGTTTAGCGCTATTTGAATTCAACTTTAGGGTAACTTTACGTTTTGGTTTGTGGGTCCGCACAGGCTCGTCTTGCCAAGGAAGAAGGTTCTTGCGGTCAATCCACGAGGTCACCTGGGCTTGGTCTTCAGCTGTAAACCCAATCTTACGCAATCCCGAAGCCAATCTCGAGCCTCGCATCTAGACCCAAGTCCTGAAGCCCAAGAAGGACTCTGCACTCACCCGCTGGTCTTACTGTCGGGGTCGAGGGTCCGAGGCCTAAACCCTCAGACGTCACCCGGCGAGGTCTTATGCTGCTACTCCTCTCCATGCGGGAAAACCTGGAGTTAGTCTGCAGCCCCAACCAGGTCTTGCAGTTTGGGGTCGTAGGGATCGAGGACAAGGCATTCAGTTCAACAGGACATGGCAACAACACGGAGATAGCTGCTGAGAGTTTCGTTTTTGTTTGGTCTGTTACAGCAGGGCTGGAACAGCCTTCTTCTCACTTGATGGTAAGGTGTTACTACGTTACCTTGGTAAGAGTTGTATTGTTTCCACAGCACAAAGTCGGACATCGCATGCGATCATCCGGGTAATAGAAGGTTGAACAGAGGGGATTGCTGCTCACATTCCATACGCTCCATAATGTAGGCAGCTATATATGCAAGCCTCAACCCCCACCGTGCCTAGGTGGCAAATTTCGCTGCCCATGCAGGGATGGGACTCATACTCTGCGCACCACTGACGGTGGGATGCTGGGTGCGTACTCGGTGCTGGGATTTCAGCGCGCCGAGAGTTTTTGCGGCTTCGAGCTGAGGGTCTCAGGATTTTAGAGAAAGGTTCGGCATTGGGTTTCTTCGGTTGAGAACGAGCACATCAGCATGTGATTCTCTTCTTTGGACGGCCATTTCTCTAGAACGAGGTCTCTGCTGATCCAGATAACCGCAGCATCCTTCTGTTCGTTTCGGGTCGTCGTTTGGGTTTTGGAAATGGCTTTTCAATCGTAGTTTCACGCGTGAAGAGCTTCGAGCCATCGGTCTGCATTAAACATTTTCAGGGTGCAATTCTTCAGCGTTGAAAATAATAAAAGTCCCATGTGATGCAGCAGCCTTGTGGTTGGGGCGAAGGATGGGCATTTTTGCACCCCTTGTTATGTGCCGATCTTTACATTCGAGGTTGGTGATGGTGCCGACGGGCATTTTTACAGCAAGGTAGGATGGAAACTGATGGGCAGACCTTCACTAGTCATCACACCCCTTACAGGCAGCTGTAAAATCCCGATGCCGAAATTGAAACCGTGATCCGCGCACTCTGACAAAAAATCTCCAAACTTCCAACCCGCAAAAGCAGACAAACGGAATCCTTGGCCTTGAGTCCTAGAGTGGGAACTCTCCTCGTCTGAGTAGGCTTTGATGGTGCCCGCTGCCGTCGAAGCTGGAGATGCTATTGCCGCCTTCTTGTCTTCACGGCTTCCGGTGGAGAGCTTCGGATTTGCAAGTCCAAAGCGTTGCTTGAGCTCAGCGGTTCCTCGGGAGAGACTAAGACAGCCGCATTGCTGCAGTGGAGTTTCGTCAAATGGGTCACTAGATTATCATCATGATCGCCACTGTCACCGTGCACGTCCGGAGTTTCTCACACCGCCGCGTCCAACATTGCGCGCTCCTTTGCTCGCCGAGGCCGCGCGTGTCCAGGCCTGGCGCGAGGCGAGCGACCTCGAGCTTTCGGACGCCCGGGCGCCCATCCGGAGCCCTTGGGAACTGTTGGTGGCCCCAACGCGGGAACAGCCCATGGCCCATGGCAAGAGCTTAAGTCCGCCCACTCCCAGGCGCTCCAGACGGTCTTCGACAACACCTTCCCCTTTGAGCTCGAGCCTGGGTTCTCCCGCGGACCAGTGAGGGGCAATCAGGTTCATGTGCTGTCGAATGAGGGCTGACGTGCTTCAAGCTTGGAGCATATAAGTGGACGAACGTGTCCACTGGCACTGGCGATAACGTGATGCGGCTCAAGTATGGCGAGCTGCACCAACAAGAAGAAGGCGAACGAAAAAGCACAACGATGAAGCAAGCAATATCAAAACAGGCAGCAGTAGGAATAACAACAACAACAACATGAACTATAAACGGAGGGGCAACGAAAAGAACACCCTGATGCAGCTATTTCCGGCTGCATCGCTGTTACTGCCACTGCTACTGCTACTGCTACTGCTGCTGCTACTGCTACTACTACCACTCCTCCTCCTCCTCCTACTACTACTACTTCTTCTTCTACCACTACTACTACTACTACTACTACTACGACGACTACTACTACTATCACAAAGTACTACCAACTATTAACTTTAACTACTAAGTACAAACTACTAAAGACTAATTGCCAATTACCAAAGACCAACTACAAAGTACTAACTGTTACTTGCTACCCTACCAACTATCAACTATTACCTGCTAACTACTAGCTACTGACCACTAAATTCCAATGGCTAATTACTAGGTAGCAACCACTGGCTACCATCTACAGACTACTACCTGCTACAAGGTAATTACTACCTACTAAAAACTAATTGCTTATTACAAAATGCCACCCACGAACTACCAATTACCAACTACGATCTGCAAAATACAGGCGCATCGGCTTTCAGCGGCGCATGTGCATGTTTGGCGAGGATGGCTTTCAATGTTCACTTGCAGGTCTTATTTCGGAGTCTACTTGCAGGGTTACATCGCTGCGAGTCTTTTGCTGGTGGCTCCTTCAGGGAGTACACCGCTCCGGGTCCCACAGGAAAGCTTGCCGCGATCGGCAATGGAAGGCAAGGACGGGCACCCGCGAGCTCTCTTCGGCAGGAGCTCACAGCGGTGCATCGACAGTAGGGTTGCAGCAAAATATTACCAACCGCGACAGTATAAGCAGAAGGCTCCTGCGGCTTCTGGGTCGATGCTGGGTACACCGCTCGTGGCAGGGCCAGATGCTACAAAGGATGGTGCAGATTTCCCACCGGATCCGTTTGCCACTCCCCAGGCTACACCGTTGACATCACGACGCCAACGCGGTCCAGGCCTGGCTTTCCGGAACGGTTACAACACGCGGGGATGTGTGTGCTGAAAACTACTCGGACCACCATGGCGTAATGCGCCCGAACCTTTTTCATGCGCCTGGAGCTTTTTCATTACGTTACCCAAGTCGAGAATTAAAACGCACGACCACATCGCCATGAGCCAGGAGAACCTTCGCTGGGCTGCGTCGGATAGCCCCGCGCAGCAAAAGCGCGAGTGTGGACTCATGGTTATATTGAGTGGCTGGGATCCTGCAATGTTCCTTGGGGAAAGGCTTTTCATGGTCAGCTGGATGCTTGGTCAAGTCACCTCTGCACGCCACTTCCTGCAGCAGCGCAGTTGCAAGGCCTCGGACGCTGCGGAGTACTATTACCTTGGGTGCCTGGAGACAGACCCGAGTGCACCGCCCGCAGGGAAAAGCAAGTGGAGCACGGTTACCACGCTGTTATTCAATTCAAGTCGTGGGACCTTCGTAAAGAGTTCATGTCAGCATACAGCGGCAGTGGGGGTACACCGCTTTGGCGAGATGTCTAGTCGGCGGCCAAGGGCTATCGCATCCGAGCCACCCGTCTTCCCCGCAGCTCCAACGGAAGCTTGAGTTGCTTATGAGGGTGATGTTTCGGAGGCTGAATGCCTGGGCCCAAACACATCCACACACTCAGATGATTATGCTGTGGCTGACGTTGACCATCGTGGAGCCGCGCAAGACCAAGGAGTGCATCATCAGCACTTTGCACTTTCTCCTGATTGCAGGGGCAGCAGCGGCCATGCCCTCGCACTGCATTCTGCACTGAGGCCATGGCAGTTTGCAGTGTCGTTGGCAGTGGTCGCTCCACTCTTGAAGGGTGCATTCAGTGCTGTGGTAAATTCGGAACGGTGCGCAGTCGTCGCTGCGGTTGCACGGTGAAGCATGGCATGTGCATGATGATTTCCAAATCTTCGCTGCTGGCTGTACCCACCTTGCCTCCAGAGGCCACTCACACTGCTGCTCAGCTTCACGGACTCAGTTGGGCAGGAAAACAAGAAAAGCTGCTTCAGGAGACAAGGTCCCATCCGTCGCTGTCAAGAGACCGACAAGCACCACCAGAGCAGCGGTGCAAGATCGCAGTGACAATGGCAATGTCATCATTTTTGACGAGATGGGTGAGAGAGGCTTTTGCTTTTTAGTTTCCTGAGCGGAGCTGCCAATAGTGCAGTGCAGCCTTGAGCTGCCGGACAAAGTCGGTCCTCTCGTCGGACGAAGGATTGTGCTAGTCGGCAATGCAATACCACTAGTACTACTACTACTGCTGCTGCTGCTGCTACTACTACTACTACTACTACTCCTGCCACAGCGACGGCTACTGCGATTGCTACTGCTCAAGCTACTGGTACCGCGTTCCCAGTCTGCTGCTGCTGCGTCTGCTGCTGCTGCTGCACTTTGTTGTGCTGCCGCTCCTTCCACTTCTACACCATAATCGTCACCATCGTCAGCATGAAACACCTCGTCCAAATGCAGAGGCTTGGTGCCAAGCAGGATTTGGCCATGGACTTGAAGTTGAAGGCCCGGTTTTGGAAACTACGGTCTTGTGAGCATTTAATTCCGGTTCATCGGGAGTCTCGCTTAACCGGTTCATTTCATGTTTTGTCGGCATCTTCCTCAAATATTTCTTTGATTTTGTTGCAGCTAGTGCAGCGCAACGTTTTAGGGGTTTCTGGGTTTGAAGGCCACGACAGAACCCAAAGTCGGTGTAGCAATGGGGGCTGCCTGAAAAAGCCGGGGGCCCTCCGAATCTTTGTATGTTTGGGCGCGTAGGTTTAGAGAGCTAATGCCTTTCTCTGTCTCAAAAGCATCCGGTTCTGGGGGGTTTCGGGCATTTCCTGCTCCGACCTTTATGGTCGGAAGCGAAATACTTTAGGTCCGCACTGTATCGTCGGCCTCCTGCCTCCTGCTCCTTAGCATCGCGGTTTTACGGAGCTGCCATTTCGCCAGATGCGGAAGCGCATGCGGGACTACCTGCGTGTGAGGTCTCTGCCCTCAGTTTTCGTGTCATTCATGATTTGAAGCGGATGGGGGGGCGCAGGCCTCAACATGTTTTGAATGCGAGGAGCGACAGCTCTGTTGTCAGCCTTTTAGCCCAAAGAGCCAGGTGGAGCCTCATCGGGGTGAGCCTTATACTCGGAGGACGGAATGCTGCCAGTTGCTCTTTGCTTTGGTGGACTCCTCCCGCCGCACATGATCTGCTTCTGCTGGCCACATTGAGCAGGACTGGTGCTGGCATACATTGTGACGGTGGGCCTGCCGAAATTTGGTGGTTTGTGAAGGTGTGAGGTTGTTAGGTGTATGAGGGAGCTGACAGTGGCTTGAAATCCCAGGCGAGTGCTTCATGGTAGGACTTTCCCAGCACTCTGTTACACGCATTGCCAAGCATTGGCATGTTTGCTGGATTTTGGAGATCTTTCCATCGTTCCCTTTTACTGTTGTGTCTGGCACGCAGACCGAATGCTCGACGTATTCACCTGCATGGATCACCTCGTAGCGGCGTAGCGCTTTAAACACAGCGTTTGAGCAAGGCAGGCATCTCCGTCCGCTGCTTTTGGTTGGCTTCAGCT